TCCGCCTTTTGGCCGTACGTTCACTTTTAGTATGGTTTCCACGCAATCCTTTATAAATGAGACCCCTGAGCTTTTTATCATTTGTTGGCGCGAGTTTTTGTTTGATGTATAATCGTCTGTTTCGTCTCTCAGGTATCCTCGTCTGGCTGCTCGTAATCCAGAGTCCAACACGGCCGGTTTGGACGTCTTCTCCAAGTTCTCTGCTTACATCAAGAACTCCAACCCTCAGGCCAATGATAGTCAGTGCTCAGAAATATTACTTGTTTTTTATGCTTTCTGTTATTTTAACCCATCTTACATGAAAATGTTCAGCTCAGTCAGCTGCTTGGTGACTTGGTTTTTGTAATATTCCTAATTATTTTTACTTTAATTACTAAAAAAATAATTTGGAAATACATTGAGATCTTTTTAATTCCTTTTTATAAATGTTATTTTTAAAGATCATCAGGATACTGGGTCTATTTTTGTCTTCTATGATACTTTTATCTGTAATTTTGCTTTTTATTTTAGTTTTAGCTCTTAGGCACTGTTTGATTCTTCAGCTAGTCGTTTTCTACTGTTAGCTAGTCATATGCTATGTTTATTTTTTATCTTCTCATATGTTTAGTATTTAGCTATGTTAAACTTTTAACCACTATTTTCATATTCCCAGTAATCCAGAATAAAATGTTTTAGGAGCAGAGTTTTTGTCACTTTTAGCAACCATTTTGCAACTTTTGGCATTTAGATCAGATGTTTATTTATTGTCCTTTTTTAAAAACGTAGTTTTAGTTTATTCAGTAAATTTTAGCGGTAATTCATGCTGGATTTTCACAAGATAAGTTTTATTTTTTTACGTTTTCTGTGGCTGAACGCTGTCATTTTGTCTTCAGGTGAAAATAGAACCATCAGGAAGCATCTGTTGATGTCGTTAGTTTTGTATTTTCTTTTCTTCTTCTGTGCTCTAAACTCCTGTGCGCTCAGATCTAGAGAAAGGCCTGCTGAAGGCCCTGAGGTTGCTGGACGAATACCTCGGCACACCGCTTCCTGATGAGATTGACGCAAACAGCGCCGATGAGGTCACTTCCTCGTCGCGCCCCTTCCTGGACGGCCGAGAGCTCACCCTGGCCGACTGCAACTTGCTGCCCAAGCTGCACATCGTGAAGGTGAACCTTCACGTGCTTCACCGCTGCCGGCTTTGTGGTCGCGACACTCAAACTCCTCTTCCTCCTCTTCCAGGTGGTGTGTTTGAAATACAGAAACTTCACCATCCCCGAGTCCCTGACCAACCTCTGGAGGTACCTGAACGCAGCGTACGCCAAGGAGGAGTTTTCTGCCACCTGCCCGGTGGATGACGAGATCCACATCGCCTACTCCTCCGTAGCCAAGGCTTTAAAGTAGGAGGAGGCTGGAGAAACATAATCCAAGAAAAACAATTAAAACACACCTTTTAAAGCAAACATTAACTCTGCAAACAATCCCTTTTTTAAACGTGACTAAAAATTATTCTAAGCGTTTCTTTTCATCTTCGTACAGATTTTAGAAAGCTCAGAGCGGCGGCAGCGTTCAGAACGCACCCACAGGTGCAGCTTTGTTTTCTCACTTCAAACAGGATTTGTTGAAACCAGGAAGTGTGTCGGGTCGATGAGCCGACACAGAAACTCCTCTGGTGACTCATTAAAACGGCTGCTTTACGTTTTTAAACCTCTCTGTTCTGTTTTAACCTGCACAAACCTTCACAGGCTCAAACTTTAATTCTCATTTTTCAGCCTCATTCGCCTCCATTTTATTTTTATTTTATTCGTCATTAAGAACATTTGCATACCAGCCGTTTTTTTTTTTTTAATTAATTTTTTTGTCACGGTTGTTTCACAAAACATCACTGAGGGGAAAAAAGCCCCTTTCATTTCATCGGAGCACTTTTTTTTTTCTCTTTCTTCGTGGTGCGAAAGGGGCGCGAAATAGACGGAGGCAGATCTGAAAACAGTTAAACAGGAAACTGTTTAAATAGAGCCGGGCTTCCCCTTTCTGCCGCAGCAGACGTGAAGGATTATTTAAGCTCACTGAGCTGCTTTGTTGATCCGCTATGAAGGCTTCAGTCTGTTTAGCTTTGCTAGGAAGCTGCGATTGTTTTTAGAAGGAAAAGAAAAAAAACAGCAGGAAGTTTAATGAAGGCATTTTTATACTGGAAATATTTTTATATTTGCTTTATGTTAGCGTTTTATATTACGAGTAAATGTTTTGTGGCCTGTTTCTTAGTGCTCTCTAACTGCGCTGACCTAACTGAAAACATTTCCAATGCGTCAGATTTMAGCTATTTTTAATACATTTTTATTTAAAAGCAGGAAGGTTCAAATTAACGGTTCGTTTTTAGATCAAGTTTGGCTCACCAGCTGAAATATCAGCAGATGTTTCAATATGTTTAACACGTTAAATTTAAATCAGACGTCCATCAAGCTTCTGACCTTCCTTTAAGTAACCGTCCAGCAGGAGCATTTTCAGCATTTCCAAGTGTAAAAGAGATTTTATGACAAAAAAACAAACCGAAGTGCACTTCAGATTCATAAAAATATATTTTGTGAACTTTTTTAGACTTCACTGAGCGCTTTCTTAAACTTACCGGTGTTTAAATACTAATATACTTGAATTGATGTGGATTTAATGAATTTGTGTTTAAAGGGATCAAGTCTAAAATATTTTATTTTATTATATAATGTGGAAAAACTTACAAAATGATTAATTTTAATTAGTTAAATGAATGGAAACTGTTAGTTTTTTCACTTATAGATGTTTGTCACATCTTCTGTTACTGATGTTTTGCTTTGTAATTTGTTAAAATTTGTTAAAATGTAGTTAAAAAGTCCCACAGGATCAGACTGATTTAAATAATCTCTGAAGACAATCAATCTGACTCAAAAAAGATCTTATATGTACTTCTTTATTGTCTAAATAAAACATTTGAATAAAAATGAGTCTGGAAATGTATTTTTTTAAATTTCATCTAAGGTTTTATTCACATCAGGGTTCCTGCAGATACTTAAAAAGCACTGAATTCATCAATCAGCCTTAATTAGCCTTAAAATGTCTTAAATGAATTCTTTATATATTTATATTATAAGTGTAATGATTGGAACTTATCTCAAACATTAAATTGGTAACATTTTTTATTATTTTTAAATTAATGTCTTGCAACTAATGTGTTAAACATTTGGATAAAATGGTTTTATTTTTTGGGAAGTTAGTCTTAAATTTTATATTAAGTTGTATTAAAACCCTGCTGTAGGAACCCTGCACATACAGATGTCACTGAGGAGAGAAATGAAACTCATCAGACAACTCAAGTGTTAAAACAAAGATTATTCAATCAACTGCACGTAAAAATAGGATTCAAGAGAAAAAAAAATTGAAAAAAGGTTTTGAGCACGAAGTTCCCTAACCTGTACCCTGATATTTTTTTAATTTAGAGCCTTAAGAAGATTGCTTGTGTGTAAATAAAAAAAGTTTAAAATCAAGACATTTCTTTCCTGTAAGTAAAAATGTGACGTTCACAGACGATCTGAATCTTTTGAACGACTCTTTAAGATGAACAGGAGTCGTGCCGTTTAAGAGCCGTTCTTTTTATTTCTTCCTCTGCAGATGTTTAATGACATCACCCTCCTGTCACGTGTGGTTCATGTATTCATTCATTCATGTTGTGCAGCAGTTGTTCGTCTCCTGATGGTCTTTTTCTGTCCCTCGCCTCAGGCCATGAGGAGCGAGAAGACGGGCAGCAGGCAGAGCGCCGCCGCCCCTCGGCCGGCCCGTGCGGCTCCGTTACAGAGGTCCGTGTCGCAGCAGTCGTTGGTGTAGTTAAAGTAGACGCCGGAGGTGTATTTCTGTCCACTCAGGCCACACTGAGCGGGAACGGCACAGCTTTTCTCGTAGATCGTCATCTGGATGACGCCTGTGAGAGCAGAGAGATCAGAAACGCTGACGAAACTGGAAAGTAAGTTTTTGTAAATGTTTCCACCTAAAGATTTACCTTTTTYCAATCAATACCAACAACACACAACRACCCCACACCCCGGCTAATTAAGAAAAGCCCACTTTTCTATTCTAGCTTATTCCAGCCACTAGTTGTGGCTCTCCACGTTCTTTCTTTAATCTTTATGTTTGGATGTAAATAAAACAAAAAAAGATATATTTTTTAGTTTATTTAAGTAATAACACCATCTGTATTTACATCTCTACAAACAGGTTCTGTGAGGTTTGAGTCTTGTAGCTGCATGTATTTAGAGAACATTTCAAACTCAAGGTCTGCGGGACAAATTTGAGCCACCACAGCATTTTATGTGGCCCACGAGAGTTTCAAAGATGTATTAACGTCCTAAAATAAGCTGCTTAAAATGCTACATCCCCCACAATGCATGTTGATTATTTTACCTGCAAAATGGTGGCATCCAGCCAGTGGAGCTAAACGGGGTTCAAAGGCAGACAGCAGCCGGAGAAATTTGCTGTGTGAAATCTGTATTTTGATGCATTTTTAAATTAATTTAAAATTTTTATTTTTTGCTGCAGGATGTTTTTTTTTTTTTTTTTTGCGGCCCAGTTGAAGTGAGAATTTCCCACTTACAGTTTACAGTTCAAGACGTCAGCTACTCACCAAAAAAAATAAATAAATCACATTTTACTTTTACTTCTAATAATATTTCTGTATTATTTATGTCAGATTTAGTCACGTACATGTCACATTTCAGTGTTTATAAGAGAACGTGTTAAAACACTGTTTCTGTGCAGGAAATACCAGGTAGAGCTCAGTTATTGTTTTTTAGCGGTGTTCCGTTTCGTGTTTAATCCAAGTTAAACATGACACATTGAAATTAATCACAAATGGCTTTGAGGACAAACACACTGCTCATGTGGCCCTCAATGGTCTGTTGAGACAGTGAACAATGACAGACTGAGCTCTGATCACACACACACACAGACACACACACACACACACACACAGACACACACACACACACACACACAGACACACGTGGATCTGACCTCGTCTTCCTGTGGCCTCACTGGAGAGGCAGCGCTGCCCAGCAGGACACTCCAGAGGAAACTTCAAACAATCCATGGGAGAGATGGCCGGAAACACACACGTGTAGCACCTCAAACAGGCTGCAAAATTATAACAATTACCAAAAAATATATTCATTTAATTCTAATTTTAAACATGTAGCATCATCTCAGGACACTTGGACGTGTTTACGTTCTAAAATGTTTAAATACAATGAAAAAAAAATCTCATATTGTGACTTTTTACATGAACAGATGTCATGTCCCATTAATAATCCTAAGTACTTTAATACAGATTTGAATAGGAGCATACCACAAATTAAACTAGTTGGTGCTCCCTGGTGGACAAAAGAGCAACTGTAGAAATTTAAAGAATAAAGTTTTAGTTTGTTTTAGTCAGTTAATTATTTGTATTGTTTTTAGCATAACTGTCAAAAACAATAAAAATACATCAGTAAAACCTTTTTTAAAAGCTGCTGTGTAGTCTTTCACTCATAAAAACTTACATTTTTTTAGATTATATTTATTTATTAGCAACAAACTTTAAACTTTGACAAGAATTAAGCTGAAATTGAATATGGTAGTAGGTGATACTGATCCCTAACATGATCTGAGAGAACAACTTTCTCAGTATTTATTTGAGGTCAACTTTATGTTTCTGTTAGCAAAATATAATTTGAAGGAAAAGCTTTGATTTTAGAGTCGAGATGATCAAATTTGGTTCTTTGGGTTGGTTTAAAATATTGTCAGTTTAAGACAAAATGCAATAATTAGTCCAGTTAAATCACACTAAAATAGATTATTAAATTTACTGCGGAAAATCAAAGAGATTGTAAATTTGGTTAATTAGAAACTATTCACGTCCACTTTAAAGCAAAACGTTTGTCTTTAAAGAGGAAGAAAAATGAGGTTAATGTTAATTTTTTTTAATTCTCTCAGAAAGGTAAATATCCTACCTGCTAAAGGAAGACAGATGAGGAGTCCTGTGAGAATCTGTAAACGAATCATGATTCGTCCTTTAAAAAGTCCTGGAAAGACTAATGGAGAGGAGCAGCTGCTTGAACTGAACTGTCCTCCGAGTCATTCCCTAACCTCCTCTGTCCTCGCCTTTTGCTGACATATTTTTAGATTTTATTAACCTGATTTTAAAAAGTGCCTAACTTATGAGCAGCTGTGATTCTCAGGCGGGCACCGTCTACTTCCTGGGATTCACAATTGAATTTGGAGAGGTAATTTTAAACAGCTGATGAATCTGATTCATATGTTTTCATGCTTTTAAAAGCTTTTTAAATCAGATTAATGAATGAATGAAGAGAAAACAAGCCGCCAACAAGGAAGGAGAAGCAAGGAAGTGTTTAACTGAAAACACAGAACCGTCAGGCTGAACCAACGCTGAAGCCGATGCGAGTCAGCAGACAGTCAGAGACAGAAACAATCAGCATGTTGTGGACAGAGGGTCAGTGAGACACTTTAACTGAATTATCCTTCAGGGTTTTAATGGGAGACATGAGGACAGCAGGCAGGACGGTCTGCTGACAGCGGTCTTGTGACGGCTCAGACTCACTAAGCTGTTTACTGCGCCATTAATTACTCAGCTGCAGGCCTTAAAACAGCTCCCCGAAACGGACTCCTTTATGTTTCATCAATTCAAGCAAAGATCAGACTTTAGCTGTAAAGATCTTTTATCCTTGCTTTACTGTTAAAACAGATGATTTTTGAATGAAGTTTGGTGCAGAGCTGTTGAAACGAACGAGGACAGAAAGCTTTACTGACAGGATTTCTGCTCTTATGCTACTAACATTTAGCTAATGCTCTGCTATTTTTAGCTACTATTTTACTTCTTTTAGCTTTAAGCTACCAGTCTGCTAAATTTAGCTTCTAGCTATGCCTTTGCTACTGCTCAGCTGCTTTAGCTTTTAGCCAGTATTTTGCTACCTTAAGTTACCATTCTGCAAGTTTTATCTCATCTTTTGTTACTTTAAGCTTTTAGCTACCCTTCAGCTACTTTAATTTTAATTAGACTTTGGGTACTTTTTGTTTACAATTCTGCTACTTTTACCAATGCTTTTTTTAGCTATTGTTTTTGCTACATAACTTTTAGCCAGCACTTTAAGCCGTCATTCTTACTTTACATCTACATTACTTTACATTCTGCAACTTTGATCTCAAGCATTTAGCTACCTTTCTGCTACTTTTAGCTGTTAGCTAGACTTTGGTTACTTTACTACTTTTACCAAGGCTTTTGCTACTTTTTGCTATTGTTTTTTCTACACCTAGCCCTTAGCCAGCGTTTATGATTTTAAGTTACCAATCTGCAAATTTAATCTTGTCTTTTGTTACTTTAAGCATTTAGCTAACATTCTGCTAACATTGTGAGCTAGATTTTGGTTACTTTTAGGGTTTAGCTACCATTCTGCTAATTTTACCTATAGCCTTTGCTACTTTTAGCTATTGTTTTTGCTACAACTTTTAGCTAGCATTTTGCTACTTTAAATTGTCATTCTGCAACTTGAGATTAATTGCATGATTTTAATCTGAGGCAGATTATTTTTGATTGTTCTGCAGCAGACAGATGGTTCTTTAATCCTTCGCATAACCACGTCTGGTTCTGTCGTGCAGAACCTCGGTTCTGTTCAGCACCTCCCTCGTGCTGCAGTGTCTCAGTCCCATCAGCTGAAGGAATATTGTGCAGCTTGTGTGTCGTAAACAAAACATTTCTGACCCACAAATCGACAAATATTAGCAAAGAAATCATCTGTTGAACAAAACCGAAGTGAACGTTATTCACTGTCTGACCTGCTTATTTCTCTTTCAGCATCATCTGACCCACTTTTCTGGATAAACCAGATTATTTTTGCCGCGTCACAAACACAATTCAGGATTACAGAGTGAATAAGCGGGATTTAATCCTTGGAAATACAAATCTGTGTTTGATTTGAATCTAAAAATCGGTTTGACTTTGGCTCAAGTGAAGATTTATATATGGTAAATGTTTTACATTTTACAATAAAAATAACCAACAATTCAAATCTTTTACTCAAACGGTATTTTAATTTTTAGATTTTTGAGCAAAAAAGTGTAAAAAAAAATAAATATATGGATAAAGTTACTGTTTGTTGTTTTGTCTCTTTTGATTGTAGCTCAGTTTTATGAGTTTTGCATCTTTTTGGCTTGGATGTGCTTTTTTTTGTGCTCATTTTGTTCGTATTTATAATCACTCTGGTCAACTTCAAGCTATTTTTGCTTAAATTGATTAGTTTGTTTTGGTAAATTAAAGGTAAATTTGTAAATTAAGATATTTAAATTCAAAACTGGATTCTTAATCATTTAAACTGTTTTAATTATCAATTAATAATTACATTTAAGGATCCCTTACTCATGCACAAGTAATTAATAATGGAAAAAATATAAAAACAACAGTGGCGGTGAGCCCTGATTGAATCCGGGCAGGACGTGTGGGGGATGGGGGGCGCTGAGAACAGCGCTGCGTCCAGTCAACTTTATATGGACGGACAAACCGGAAGTGCGACTGCGAAGTTTTTCAAATTAAACAGAGCAAAGTGCGTTCCTTACCAACTTGCAAATTTTAACCTTCAAATACGGGATGATTCTGTATTTTAAGGGAAAATATGCTACACATACGATGACTAGAGCTAACTAAAATGAAAAGGTTAAAGTGAATAACGAGCGGGGCAGAGGTACGGAAAGTGAGGGGTTTTATTTTGAAAAATATAACCGGAAGTAAACTCGTTCCACAGCAGCTGTTGACTAAAAGGGGCAGCGAGGAGAAGGAGGGAGAGTAACGGGAACAGAACAGGCGTGGAAATTAAATTAAACTAAGGGGCAAAACGGGACGGAACTCAAAAATAAAAAAACTCAAACAGGTAAGTCGACCCGCGTTTGTACTTTTATCTGTTCCGTGTTGAATTTGTGGACGTTTCGGGGGGAATTAGTTTCTCCTTTTTAAAGAGATGTGGGGAAAAGAAAATCATCCCAAGTTATTTGGAAGAGTGAAGTGGGGCGGTGCTGTTTGGGTGGAGGGTTGTTCTGATTTACTACAGCCGAATAAACCCAAACAAAAGGAAATGGCTGTTTGTAAAGACAACAATGAAGCAAACATGCTGTTTAAATAAGCATCATTTAAGGTCAACTTTTTATGTTTTATGTTTATGGAAAACAGCTGGACATGAAAGCTGGGACTTGTTGCATAAGTTATGAAGGAAATATCCTGTTGGAGGGACTTTAGGAGCCTCTCTGTGGGAGACTGCTTTGAGTTACAGGAAARATGAATAAAGAGCATTTGTCCCAAATCTGAGAAATAATCTAACGCTGAACAAAGCCACTTTGTCTGCTCCCAGTTGGACAATCTTTGCATTATTTCAACCATCCTTTGCTTTGATAAGTTCATGTCTTTATCTGCTATTTCCTGATTAAATGTAAATGATTTCATTCCCTGACATTGACTCCTTCTCTGTCTCAGATTAGATTCCTCTTGAGCAAAGATGGAGCGCAGCGCCCGATGAAGACCTCCATCCTCCTGGATCGCCTAGCCTAACCCTGTTCACCGATATCTGCATCTTTACWGACGTCATGGCAAATATGTGCCCTTACGGCCGCTTCACCCATGCTGTGGTGCGGGGCATCCCGGAGACTTTTGGGAAAGTGGCGGGAGACGGTGGGGAGAACGAGGCGACGGCGGCGGTGGAGCTGGCCAAGGCTCAGCGTCAGTTCGGCTGCCTGACGGGAGCGCTGAGGCAAAAGGTCGGCCTGCAGCTGATCGAAATCCCCCCCGACCCCGAGCTGCCGGAGAGCTGGAGGATCGAGGACGTGGCGGTCATCCAGGGGGACACGGCGCTCATCACCAGACCCTTCAAACAGCAGAGACGCAGTGAGGTAACAGCACAGCAACAACAAAAACCAGCTGCAGGAGCTGATTTCTGCTGCCCTAATCCTTCCATAGCACTCTTAATCTGTTCATCCCTCTTTCCCAATTTTGTTTTGACATATCAGACAAAACAACTCATTTATTTCCCTCCCTTTAATCTTAAATCCTGAATTCCACCTTCAAATTTGTGTTTTGTTAAAAACGTGTGGTTTGAAGTTAAATCTGAGTAAACCTCTGCTCGTGTCCTCGTCCTCAGGCGGAGGCTGTGAGGAGGGTGATGTCTGAGCTCAGCCTGACCGTGGTGGAGATGGGGGGCGAGCAGGGCGACTCTGGGGGGGCCACGCTCGAAGGCAGCGACGTCCTCTTCACCGGCAGGGAGTTCTTCGTYGGCGTGTCGTCCCACACCAACCGAAGAGGAGCCGAAGTGCTGGCCGACACGTTCAGGGTACGGAGGCGGATCAGACGGCCTCACACGGCTGCGGGATGTGAGAAGTGTTAGGTGATGATATTTGGCTCCTCTTGTTGCCAAGAGCGTCACCGGATAAAAGGCTGGAGCTGCCGAGGAGAGCAGCTGCTCATTTGCTTTATTGCATTTTGGGAGTTCTTGTCTTTAAACGGTGATGAATGAGGTTGTTCCTCTGCTCCCACCGGCCCGACCAGACCCGCCCAGATATTGATTCCTTCACTTCTCCACAGTGCTTTTACTCATGCCGACTCTGCATCCTCTTCTGTGTGTGTGTGTGTGTGTGTGTGTGTGGTTGTTTTTACTACAGAGTGAGGACTATTTGCTCCATAGTTACTATCAAAGTGAGGTCTTTGATGTAAACTGAGGACCTTTTCAATGACCTCATTTTGTTTGCAGCTCTGCTGTGCTTTACTAGTTAGGTTTAAAGGTTTGGTGTGAATTAAGTTCTGGTTCAGGTTAGGGTTAACTGTAGACCAGTACTGGTTAATTTCAGGGAAAATGTCAGGGTTAGGCATAAATACTGTTAGAGAAATGAATGGAAGTCAATACAAAGTCCTCAGTTTGATGCAAACACAAGGAGGTGTGTGAGTGTCCTTGTTTTTGCTGCTTGGTGGGGACAAATTTTCATGAAAATGCAGCCTCGTTGGGACCAAATGCTCCAGAGGCTTTTTTTTTTTTTTTTTGGAGGTGGGGTGTTAGGACCAAGGTGTGAATTGAGTTTAGGTTAGTTTTAGGGTCAGGTAGGTACCTGTGAGGTTAATTTTAGGGTAAATGGTCATGGTTAGGATATAAAATCACCAGAAAATGAATGGAAGTGAATGGAAAGTCCCCACAAGGATAGAGAGACATAGTAGGTGCGTGTGCCATCAGGACAAGGGATAAAGAGGAAGATCAATAGATATAAAGTTCACACGAGAGGATGTAAAAAATGGCAGGTTGGTGTTCCTGTATTTCGATGTCTCGGTTTCGGATGGAGGACAGTTAGAAACTGGCGTATATCGTAAGCCCACCCTCACAGACCAATATTTGCGTTTTGACTCCCACCACCCACTGGAACACAAGTTAGGAGTGATCAGGACTCTGTACCACAGAGCAGACAGTGTCCCTACAAAGGCAGAAAGAGAAATCACACACACGACAGGCCCTGGAGCAGTGTGGTTATCCTGACTGGGCTTTCCTGAAAGCAGACAGGAAACACAGACAGGATTCCATGCAACCTTCAGGTGAAAATGAAGACCCCAAACCCAGACCCAAACCAGTGGTTATTCCGTATGTTGCGGGTGTTTCGGAGAAACTGAGACGTTTATTTTCTTAACATGATGTCCCAGTGGCTTTCAAACCCCAAAACACATTACGACAAAGGCTGGTTCACCCCAAAGATCCGGTGCCCCGGCACAAACAGAGCAATGTTGTATATGCTGTTAAGTGCCAGGAGGACTGCRACCAGTTATACATCGGGGAAACAAAGCAACCACTGTTCAAAAGAATGTCCCAACACAGACGAGCTACATCTAATGGCCAGAACTCTGCAGTTTTCACTCATTTACAGGCCAGCGGTCACTCTTTCAGAGATGAGGATCTTCTCATTCTTGATAGAGAGGAACGTTGGTTTGAGAGAGGAGTAAAAGAAGCCATTTTTGTGAAGAAAGACCGTCCATCATTAAACAGAGGTGGAGGCCTCCGTTTTCAGTTGTCCCCCTCCTACAGTGCGGCTATTGCCAGTATCACTCCACCCCGTTAACAATAATTGTTAATTAGGTGTCAACGATAGCCATGTGATGTGAGTATCAGTCACATGGAGGCAGTGCTTAAAAGCCTGAATTTTGCCTGAAACTCTCAGACTGAAGAAGTCTCTTGGAGGAGAGACGAAACGTTTCATTAGAGAAGAAACCGTCCAGAAGACCTATACAATTTTTTTCTTTTTGATCAATAGATAGAAAGATAGACTTTGCATCTTGGTCTATCTAAAAGCCTTGGAATTGGCCTCTGTCTCTTTAAGAACCTCTTACCATTTCAGACACTCCCACTTCAGCACATCTTCGTAATTTTTGGGAGAGGGGTGCCCGGCTGCAGACCGAGCACCAGGGAGGAGCTTTATAGGCGGAGCTTTGTACCAGCAAGTGTTTATGGAGCTCCACATGTCTACAGGAGATTCAAGGGATTCTCAAACATGCATGAATGAGTCAAAGCAACACTGGGTATGTTTTTAATGAGGGAATGACATTAGAACATGATATTATGATCAAAAAAGTCCATTTTCCATATTTGCATCTTTAAGAATTCACAAAGGAAAACAGAGAGAGCATCACTTTGTCCAGAGGTATTCCTTAAAGGACCTYCTTTTAAAACTACAGGAGCCAAGAACAGCCGATCATAACCAAGCTGCTTTCATCTTAAAATCCCTTTCTTGTGATATTTTGGTGTAAAAAATGAGCTCAACTCTACGGAGATTTGTTAACTTGAATCATAAATGTTTTTTTTTTTTTTTTTTGTGGCGTCAGCATTTTATTTTCACCTGTTCAGGACTTTGCTGTGTCCACCGTCCCCGTCTGCGGTGGAGCCAGACTGAAGAACGTCTGCTCCATGGGGGGTCCGGGTACCATCATCGTCAGCAACAGCGACGGGGCCAAGAAGACGCTGCGGGTAAGAAAGTCCACTTCATGCACCGTTCTCAGAAACCTAACCTCTATAGAGAGGGATGATAACAGGCTTCTGATGAAACATGCAGGACAGTGGGATCATCAGCTCTTGTAATAATTAGAACAAAAATAAATGATCATTTTTAAGTTTGATTTGATGGTTGGAGATCATTCGTGGCCAAAAATGGGGTTAAATATAATAAATTACTGTTTATTTCTAGCTGCAAAGAAAAGCACATAAATCCTGTTGTCATTCTTCATTTCATGATGTTCCAAATAGCTGAATACCTAATTTTTTTAGTATTGTTGCACATCGAGCCTTTGTGTTTATGTTTTAGATGATGGAACAGCTGACTGATCACCACTACGACGTGCTCACTGTGCCGGAGGAGTCTGCAGCCAACTGCATCTACGTTAAAGGCCCGTCCAAACGGGACTTCCTGCTGCACAGGCCCGCTGAGGAATGTCCTGAGAGCGTCTCTGTGAGTACACTTCAGATTTAACCCTTTATAACCTGAAAAAAAAGGTTCAAATTAGGCATTTTCTGCTGTTTTGGAGATATGAAAGTGTCGAGCTTTTTAAAACAAAAGGATGCAGCTTTTTTATTTTTGTTCCTTTTGACTCAGCAGAATTGTAAAACACTCCCATCTGACTTCATGTTTTGTATTTTTTTCTCAGTAATTCATGAGTTTTTTTTCCATCACTCATGAGTTGCTCTGATTTAACCATTATTCCTCCCCTCCTGGTTTCACTGGCTCATTCTGGATGAGTGAACGGTTTCCTCTGAACTCTCCGCAGGCCTTCCAGAAGCTGCAGGACTACACCCTCCTGCCGACGGCCTGCAGCGAAGCCTCCAAACTGGGAGCATCTCTGTCCTCCCTCTGCCTCCTCATCAACAGAAAACACACACATTTCTAAACACACAGAGCGATCATATACCTGTAAGATAACTGTAGTTTTGACCCCCCAGGACTGGTCTGATTTTGGTCTGATTTAACTCCTGCTTTGGCGTCATACAGCTTTATGAAACTCAGCTGCCGTGCCCCTACTTTAGACCAGTTAAAAAGTTTGTTTTCCCTCAACTTTTAGCTCCAAACTCAGTGCCTGTTTCTACAAACATGCAGTCAAATCCATAAGGACCTAAATGTGTTTTATACTTGAGCAGATTAGCAGCAAAACAACTTTATAACTAGTCGAAATGCACATTAGTTATTGGTACTAGCTTATGAAGGAAAGCCTGTTTTAGTAACTAGCTGCTAAATGTAAGTTTTTAGCTTTCCAGTGTATGAAATAATCAACTATTGTTTGAAAAGACTTGTAATTTACCAGGATGTTGCTTTAATTATACCACTATTTCTGCAATAAAAGATGAAAACTAGTTTAATCTTATGACCAAATAACTTTCCCACAGGAACATCTGGGCATCAAGAAACTCCAAAGTCATCTGAAATTTCTTCAAATTTATTTGTTTTGTTAGAAAGCAAACATGTTTTAACGGTTGGACTTGGCCACTCTCTCCAACTCGTCCTTCTTCTTGATGGCGTAAGAGTTAGATGAACCCTGGAGGAGCAGAAAATATAACGTTTGATYCCAGCTGAGCACAAAATGTAAAAATCTTGTTTAAACGAACTTTCACCTTGGCTGCGTTGATCAGCTCATCAGCCAGACACTCGGCGATGGTCTTGATGTTCCTGAAAGCAGCTTCTCTTGCTCCTGTGCACAACAGCCAGATGGCCTGCAGAACAGCACGTTGYGGTTAAAACACTCAGGATCACTTCAGTTTGCTGGTTAGAAATGCAGCATGTATCATGAGTCGGTGATTGACTGGGCCACGACAGACTGCAGCCAATGAATAAACTACGAGCTTTAATATACGAGAGCTCTAGCACGCCAAGACAACGGGGAGATATCCAGGCGTGACTCTAGCCTCGCTTGTCTGAACTGTTACACATCTCAGATCTAATTTAAGAACACACTACCTGGCAAGTTGCTACAAACCCGAGTTTTAAAAGTGAAGGGTGTTTTGTTACCTGGTTGACCCTGCGGAGAGGCGACACGTCCACCGCCTGCCTCCTGACGGTACCAGCGCGACCAATACGGGTGGAGTCTTCACGGGGTCCACTGTTGATGATGGCGTTGACCAAAACCTGAAGAGGATTCTGGAAACACAATTGGAAAAAAAAAAAAAAAAAACTGCATGACCAACAATATAAAAATACTTTTCTGCATCAACTTAATGGAATCACGATTCTTGCAAACCTAATAAAAATCTGATGACAGTTTTAGTACCTCTCCAGTCAGCAGGTGGATGATCTCGAAGGCGTGCTTGACGATGCGCACGGTCATCAGCTTCTTGCCGTTGTTGCGGCCGTGCATCATCATGGAGTTGGTGAGACGTTCCACGATGGGGCACTGGGCCTTCCTGAAACGCTTGGCGGCATAACGTCCTCCAGAGTGCGGGAGGTACTTGGCGTACTTCTCTTTCACAGCAATGTAATCCTGCAAAAACAGCAGCGTTAAACACGTTGCTGCAACACGACGGTGACGTTCGGGTGATGTGGTGTGTCTGAGCTGGTGATTGGCTGGGCCACATGAGACTACAGCCAATGAATATGCAAAGACCTGTTACTCTACGAGTGCTCTAGCACACCAGGACAACGGGTCAGTGTCCAGGCGTGACTCTAGCCTCGCTTGAATCGTCTTTAACTCTGTTTACATTCACACCTGCAGGGAGATGTCATTGATCTGAACGTCGTCAGTGCTCCACTTTCCAAAAAGCTTGATCTCAGGGGTCTCAGCCACAGCTGGGGCAGTCTCCCACTCAGTCACTGCAACATAGGGGGGAAATGCTTTTAACAGGATGCTCATGAGTAAATCAGTGTATCAGTTTGAAAATAAAACAGTTATATACATACAGTACTCTATGTTTAAGGGATTTAACTACACACTCCAAAACTGAGCCACTGGTGATACATTAACTCATAATAAATACAAGGTAATGCTAACTCTACAGCAGAAAACAGATGTGAGGAAACATTTAATATTCCTTTAACAGGCTAATTTATCGCCAGGATAGATTTTATATAAGTTACTGTCAGGACTTCAGAGCAAAGGCCTTAGTATGAGTGTGATTCACAATCAACTCATGATGATTTGGGCTTTAGAAGCTAACAAGGTAACTATCGTAACGTTTAGCCCTCAATACGTGAACATAATTTAGTAGCACGTTACAGTAATGTTTCACGTAAAAAAAAAGAGACATCAAGGAATAAAAGGTATCGTTGACATGCTACAAGCAGCGTCTGTTAAAGCGGATGACCGACATGCCGCTACACATGCGCCAGCTATGGTTAGCTAAATGCTAACACGACAACATTCAAAAGAATTAAAAMCACTTTTCAGCAAAGCTGACACGTTCCGAATGCGTTTATCGATCAGTTGGACAAACAATCCGCTACCAAAGCTGCTTCTTTATTCAATATCTCGATTTTTAAACCAAGTTAAAGCTGTTTTTTCTACTCACTTGTGCCTGCCGTTGTGTACCACACTTCTCTGAGACGGAAAAGGGCCTGCTCAGGGCGCCGCGTGCAGATATCCGGTGAGCTGGCWGGATACTTCCGGGGCCGCAAAGCATTTTGGGAAATAATGTTTTTTTTAATCCTCTTGTTTATGAACATTTTTCAAGAATAACACGTTTAAAACATTACTTTATCTCTACTTTATAAATTACGAAACCAATATGGCATGTGATGACAAAACGAGTCACTATGAAAAATTGAAAACCTCAAAACAAAACGTAGTTTGTTAGGATTAGGCAATTTATAACCAAGTTGGCAACAAGCTAGTTTACTTTCAACGGATTTTTGCTTAATAAACTTCACTTTTTTTAATTGGGTTACAAATATGTCATTAGTAATTCCAGCTCTATATTTAACAAGGTGACAYCAAACATTGTACAAAGGGATTTCCCAGCCATCAAAAAAAAAAAGTCAATTTCAAATCGTAGAAAGCTTAGAGTATTWCCAAAGATATTAATTAAATGCTTATTTGCCAAACAATATTAATGTAAATAAATAGACATTYACACACACATGCTAACGTAAACTATCTAATAAGCATATAAATACCCGTTTATAATTAATCAGGGTTTTGTTCAAATACTTTTTGAACATTTTCAGGTTGCATTTCTGCTTACATTTTGTTATCAATTAATCAGAGATAAAATGACAACAAAATAAACAACACACAATGTTTAAATAGTTTTTTATTAATTAAATGACAGTTGACATTTTTTTAATCTTGTCAGATAAACATTGTAAAAACTGTCAAAATAGTATTTTTAGTCTTTAAAAGATTCCTTATTTAAAATAACAGCTTGTACAATAAAGCCAAACAAATCCAGAAATCCCTTTCTACTGAAGACTTAAAAAAAAAAAAAACACATTTCAACATCTTAATGAGTTCCCTTCTCACTACTTTGTGCAATCCATGCATCGATGGTTTACTTTGTTTTTACACATTATTTTTGTTCATTAAACAGAAAGGTAAACAAGCAGCTAAAAAAAGGCAATACAACATAACATTTTTTTTAAAAAATACTCCCTTTCTAATAAACATGGAAGTCACTAAAATGCCTGAGAAATCTAAACACGATGGAAGGTAAAAATCACCTCAAGCAATTGTTTTACAACACTGTCAGACATATTTACTCTTTTTTTAAATTATTATTTCAGCACTTTGGTGAAAGAAAACAAAAAGCCATGCAGAGGAACCAGTCCAGGCTTAATCTACTGCATGAAAATGATTCAAATATTTATAGACTATCAGATCAGACATGTACGCTAATGGGTCTCCCATCCAACAACCAGGAAGGATTTATACGGTTTAGTATAAATAGCTGCGCCACGAGACGAGCAGGGCAGTAAATCTGTACACAAAGACGACAGGAGGTCGTTCAGGCACGGTCGTGTTGCATGGTGATGTGCAGCGATATGACTAACAAATATATCAAATTCACCAAATTAAAAGTGCTTGTATCGGTTGTGACGCGTCTACAAGGGCTTAAACAGGACACTGAGGTTTTAATTGTTTAAAGGCAGAATAAGCAGGATGTTCTTTACAACAAATAAGAACAGTTGTACAAAAAGGTAACATTTATCTGCTTCCCTTTGCTGATGACAGTAACTAAAACTAAATCTAAGAATTAAAATCTCATTTTTTTGTTCTCCCTTTCTGTAAATTCAGCCTCCCTTCTTGTTCATAAAAAACCCTTTATAATTATAATTATCTATCTAGTTATCATCATAATGGAGTAATTCTTAATCATTTGTAAACAAAACAAAAAGCTGTAAATCATGCTTGATGAGTTGGAAGCTATTTCAGCAGCAAAAATACCCAAAAACCTATTAAATTTAAACATACAGCTAAATGTTAGCGTGCACATTTTGTTTAAAAGGTTCTGCAGCTCTCAGYCAAAACCTTACGCACATTTAGAACAAATGATGTTTAGTTTAAAACACAAAGAGCACAGCTTAAAATAAACACATAAAAGGAGAAGTTTATAGGAAGTTTGTAACTCGACTGGACGAGCAGCTKGTTGGGTCATAAATATTTAAATTTCCTAACAAATTTATAAACACCTTTCAGAGGATTAGGGCCACAGTGGAAATTAGTTTTTCTTATTCAAAACTATGACTTATTTCTCAGAATTCTGAGGCCTTACTCATCTTGTAGTTTTGTGTTAAAGATTCTTCAAAACATACTGCATCACGCACACAAAAAACTACGAATACATTAAAAAAAAACTAAATAATTACAGCGGTTACATTTTTTAAACTTGACTGTTGTTCTGTGGGTTTAAGGTGAAGATTTAATCCCTTCTGACTGAAGAACAGTTTCGCTGCAGAGAGACTTAATATCTTCTCGATCATCGAAGCTGAACAACAAGTCCAAACTGTCGGCCTTTAAATAAAAGCTAAAATAAAATAAGATGAGGATTAAAGAGATCTACAAGTCTTTTTTTAACAGAGCTCAGTAAGCTGCAGAATAGGTGTGTGTGTGTGTGTGGTTCTACAGCAGCCACTTCTCAATGCAGGTGTGGAACACGGTCTCGTTCGAGTGCCACCAGACGTGCTCCACACCCGGAACCGAGCAGAAGATCAGATCTCCTCGAGCCACCAGCGTCTTCAGACCAAAAACATCTTTTAAGTACAGCTGGAGGAGAGAAAAAAAGTAATTTACTCCAGGAAATACCCTCCACTAGCAAAAAAACATGAACCAAATTAAATATATTTGCTCATTACAAACTTCATCTATACCTTTTTTTTCCTTGTTATATATATTCTATATTCTATATATATAGTTCTATAAAAGCTTTACTAAAAAAAAGTGCTGGAAATAAATCCTAAAAATGTTCAAATATCTTTTTTACACCATAAATAGGTGTCTGTGCAGATGTTTACTACAAACTAGAAGTGGTTTTTTAATTAGAGGCCACCAGGGGGCGCTACAAGGCCTCAGAATGCTTGAGGAACTTTGAGTGGGGRAAAAAAAAAACATTTCATCTAATAAATCTGGTTTTAAATCATTTTAAAATATAATTTCTATATTTATATATTGAAATTTGTTATTTAGGAGAAATTRAGCAAGGTTTGCTTTTTTATTTTTTTGTTCTTAGTTTGTAAAAGTTTGTTTTTCAGTGGGAATATAAGTGTTTGAAACATGGTAGTTCCTACAATTCTTATTCTAAACCAATATTTTAATTATTGAATAGTGAATAAAAGTTAAAAACATATATTCTAAAAGCTGATGTTTGTGGGTTTAACTAGCAAACACAGCCGAAGCTAAAAGTAATGCATCGTCTGAGCACCAGCAGGTACTGCAAAGTAGTTGTAAAAAGGACCTGTGCTTCTTTATGACTCAACGAGCAATAACACAATCAAACAGTAAAGGCAACAAGCAGAAGAGAAAAACTAAAACCAGTTCCTGTTTGGACTCACGTCTTGGTGCTGCATCTCCACCACCGTCTCGTTGTCGTCATAAAATCCAAACTGGCTGTAAAACACGAGAGAAACACGTCAGGGTCGCATGACAATCAAACCAAACGGTAAAAATAAACACAAAACAAGCCATAAAATGTGATTTTTAAAGAGTAACTTACCCCCAAATTAACTTTTTTTAGCTGACAAACTGTCTAGAATGTGTCTAAAATGTTATATAGTACAGTTTCTGTGCTAATATTGATGTTTTTGTGCGTATTTGTTCAAATCTGTAATATTTGGTCTAAAAACGTGTTTTTGCTGCTCATATGGGTAGAGCAGTGGTACTGCAGGCTAATTTGCATATTGGTTAACGGCTCTCCACGGTGACGTGCTTCTCCATGGTTTCGTCACAGCGGCTGTGTTCTGGTATAAAAGCCTCTCTCTAAGACACGCCCCTGCAGCAGTCAGAGGGTGGAACAGTTAGCAAGCTTAGCATGATCGTCTGTTGACCTTCAGCCTCGGGTGGGGAGAGCTGACTGCTGCGCTGCTCTCCCTCTCTCTCTGAGAGACAGAGAGAGAGAGAGAGAGACCAGCAGTACATCCTGCACAGCGGGAGGGGAGGAGGGGAAAGAAAGGCAGCGGGCAGCAACTTGTACAGATTATATGTAAATTATAAGGATTTTACGTCATTTTGCAGGTATACGGACGTACAGAGTAATCTCACGGATTTTTTCAAGTCTTAGGGATATTTTAAAAACCTCATTTTCAAATTTATCTAACATGTCAGAGCCTGTAGGATGATTTAAAAAACAATAAATAACATCAAACAGCCATCTTCCAACCTGTTCTGCCGCTAGAAATAAGTTACTTTTTCCTCTCTCCTTTCCTCCTGCTCTGCAGCAGGAGCTTTCATGTCCGCAGCCCCCCCCGCCCCCCTACCCCCCGCGGGTGCGAGTTGTAAGGATTTTTTGCAAAATTTATGGAATTTTAGGGCTCTTTATACAGGTAAACTACTTTTATTCCTGATTTAAACTAGCGATCTTGTGARMAGYTGTATGCTTTTATTTTTTTCTGTCAGGCTGTCGGAGCGCTCCTCCTCCTCTGTCTGAGGCTGGTTTGGGGTGAAAATCCTCCACCTCAGACGTTCAGAGATGTAACTCTCTGCGATACTGTGGTCACTTTCCATGTTGCATCATTTATCTCATCATCATCATCTAGCTGCCTGTCACGTTCTCTCGTCCTGGCCACACCTCCGCTCTCTAACCCCCCCTCCCCTACCCACTTTGATGCATTTTTCAAATTTCGCCTTGGGGCGGAGTTATCTTTTCACAGGGGGGTAAGATACACTTTAAAGATCTGGGTAAAACAAGTCACATTAAAGCTCTAAAATAATGATATAAAACTGCAGCAGGTCAGCAGCTGGCATGTCAATAAATGAAGCGTTTCAGACGATCAGTTAACAAATAACTCAAAATAAATCCTGGTTTGTTCTAAAATACAACCATCTCAAATCAGGACCAGCTCACCTGGACTGCCAGGGAGTGATAACTCCATCGTCAGGTCCTCCGATCAAAACCAGCTTCTGGATTTTCAGGAAGTTCTTCTTCCATTCTGCAGGTGAAAGTTTACAGACAGGATCACTAATCTTTGTAAACGTTTGTTACATTTCACACATCTGTCCTGTCAAACAGGAAGATTTTTACTGTCATGCATTTATGATAAGAAATCATCACTTTTACAGTAAAAGTACTGCATATAAAAAGTACCTGCTTAGAAGACATTCTCAGTTTCAGTACTTTTTAAGACCTTTGATCTGTACGGATTATCTCGTAAATATAGCTGTAAGTGTTAGATTTGAGATGACTTTTTCCCCCACAGAAATAAGTTTTCTGACCTGTTGAATTTGGGTTGGGTCGCTCACTGTTGAGCAAAGCCAAATATTCACTGTTGTTCAGATACAGGTCTCTGTGGTGGGGGTCTGCAGGCAAGAGGAGGGGAGAAAACAACACAACTATAGCATCACGACACTTTGGCACGTTTTATTTTATTATCCCAGCGAGTATTAATTTGATCTCCCGTTGATATTTACGCTTAAATCTCACCGTTCCAGTAGTTGCAGATGGAGATCAGTTGACCAACTCCAGTGTAACAGAAGTGGTAGAGGTTGGACTTCACAAACTGAGGGAAAACTTTAAAATAGTCGGTGTCTGAGAAGAAACAGAAAACAACGAGATGAAGAAGGTTCAGTAGGAAAGAATAAACCATTCAGACTCACTTATTTGTTTTTTTTCCCCATCAATGTTTGCCTAAAACATCTAAAATAATAAAACAAGTCTCTTGTAATGAATCAGTTAATGGGTTTTAACAAGCTTTGCTCCTGAAAGTGTCCTGATGCATCTCAGTAATCCAGGTAAAAATCAAAAAAAAAAAAAATTGTATAGGTCCTCTGGACGGGTTCTTCTCTAATGAAACGTTTCGTCTCTCCTCCAAGAGACTTCTTCAGTCTGAGAGTTTCAGGCAAAATTCAGGCTTTTAAGCACTGCCTCCATGTGACTCTCACATCACATGGCTATCGTTGACACCTAATTAACACCTATTGTTAACAGGGGGTGGAGTGATACTGGCAATAGCAGCGCTGTAGGAGGGGGACAACTGAAAACGGAGGCCTCCACCTCTGTTTAATGATGGACGGTCTTTCTTCACAAAAATGGCTTCTTTTACTCCTCTCTCAAACCAACGTTCCTCYCTATCAAGAATGAGAACATCCTCATCTCTGAAAGAGTGACCGCTGGCCTGTAAATGAGTGAAAACTGCAGAGTTCTGGCCATTAGATGTAGCTCGTCTGTGTTGGGACATTCTTTTGAACAGTGGYTGCTTTGTTTCCCCGATGTATAACTGGTCGCAGTCCTCCTGGCACTTAACAGCATATACAACATTGYTCKGTTTGTGCCGGGCAATGCTGGGCAAACAGAGCAATGTTGTATATGCTGTTAAGTGTCAGGAGGACCGCGACCAGTTATACATCGGGGAAACAAAGCAGCCACTGTTCAAAAGAATGTCCCAACACAGACGAGCTACATCTAATGGCCAGAACTCTGCAGTTTTCACTCATTTACAGGCCAGCGGTCACTCTTTCAGAGATGAGGATGTTCTCATTCTTGATAGAGAGGAACGTTGGTTTGAGAGAGGAGTAAAAGAAGCCATTTTTGTGAAGAAAGACCGTCCATCATTAAACAGAGGTGGAGGCCTCCGTTTTCAGTTGTCCCCCTCCTACCGTGCGGCTATTGCCAGTATCACTCCACCCCCTGTTAACAATAGGTGTTAATTAGGTGTCAATGAAAGCCATGTGATGTGAGAGTCACATGGAGGCAGTGCTTAAAAGCCTGAATTTTGCCTGAAACTCTCAGACTGAAGAAGTCTCTTGGAGGAGAGACGAAACGTTTCATTAGAGAAGAACCCGTCCAGAAGACCTATACRATTTTTTTCTTTTTGCTCCTGAAACTTTACATTCAGGTGACCTTTCTTTGCGATTTAAGCTCTCATCTAATCTATTCTTAACATGTAAGTTGCAACTTAAATCAGTGTTTATTGAGATTTTAACTTTGGACCCACCTCCGTACTGCCCGGCCTGCGGCGCCGACAGAGAGATGAAGGAGTGAACGTTGTGGTCCGACAGAGTGGAGAGGATCCCTCTGCAAACCAGCCCACCTGTCAAAACAACAACTTTCTGATGATACAAAGTTCAGGCAGTTTATAGATTACTGTGGTAATAAACTAGATCTGTTCGACCTTCAGAGAATCTTTTGCAATTTACWGTAAACAGTTTATCTAAGAACGAAAGAACAAACCTTGAGTACTTTGAGTAAATACATACATGCAGTATCTGAACGACAGGAATGCATTCAACGCACCTTGAGAGTAGCAGATAAGGTTAACGCCGTCGGCTGCATTTTGCATTATCGGGTAAATGGCGGCCTTGAATCCTTCCACCTGTTTCCACATGGGCTGCAGGCTGGAGCTCCGGTCAAACAGGTCGATCACCGTCACGTTGGTCCCCGGGTGAGACTGCAGAAGACAAGCGACGATCAATAATAACAACATTCCCCTAAAAGACAACATTTTTACGCTTTTAGACATTTAGATGTTCATCGTCAACAGACGAATGCTCCAGCGGCATGTGGAAGAACCATACACAGCCACAACAGCCTGTTAGGGAAGCAGGAGTTCAGACCGTGCAGCCGAAAATACGAGGTCATTTTCTTTTTTTGGCTCATTTTCCATCTAAAAATATGTATTGTCTTGTTTCAGTGACCACTTAACTCAGCAGAAACATAAAAAAAGAGGAACTTCAAATTGGTTTAACCGCAATTTCCCAAAGGACTCAACAAATGCTTCCTTCTTGTATCAAAACCACATTTTCAGCTCAGAGAAGTAATTTCTACAGGGTGTAAGAAAAGCAGGATTGGTCACATTTTAGTTCAATGACATCTTTAAGAGAGGAAAACTACAACGTATTGAACCTATACATTCAGTTTAAAGTAATTTAATCTACGTTTATCAAGATTAACTCGTGTTATGAACTTGAACATATTACATAATCATATATGTTCAAGTTTTACAGGGAACATAAAAAGACTGTAATTATATTTAATATTACACTGAGCCTGAGACACTCACCTGGTTAATGAAGCGCTTCAGGTTGATAAAATCCTCCGAGCTGTCGAACAGACCGTGCACCACGACCACCGGCTTGTACCCGAGCACCGCAGCCCACAGACACGCACCGAGGAGCGGACACAGCATCACGGTAGCCTCGCTGCTTCTCCTCCTCGTCCTGGCGAAATGCGAGCCCTTCATTCTAAGTCTTTAATTACAAATACTAAATTCAAGTTAAATAAATAACAAAAACACGGCCTAGCGGGACAAATTTAAGTAACAAAATTAGTATTTTCTAAATTAATGCATCATTTTTTAGCTTGTTTTTGTTTCCARATGCGGGGCAGATGAAGCAGATCGACGGAGGCCGTTTAATAATCTTGTTTAAGTCACACCATGTACCTTCCCGCTAAAAATAACATCTGATAAAACACTTTGCAGCTCCTCTACTTTCTGTGTTTGTTTGTTCCGGTTTTAAATTAAAGGTGAGACAGCCGCTGCTGACGAAACTTCCGGGTTTCCAGCCTCGACCAATCAGCGCGAAGACTCCTCCTTTACGGCATCTGACGTAAAGCTGTAAACAGGATGTTATTTATCCGTTTCACCTGTTTTTATCTCATCTCTCACAACATAAATCATTTATCTAAACTAAAGAACATAAACAAAACACAACACGTGCGATAAATCAAAAGCTTTTAATAACCAGTCCTGCAGGTTGAATGAAGAAATCCACAATCACATCCTAATGATCAGCTGGTTTGAGCTGAAAAACAAAACAAAATCATTTGTATTTTCTTTCTGCTGTCAACATTAATACCCAACTTCTTGTCCTTTGGTCTTTTCCCCCTCGTTAACTCAGCAAATCAAATATAAACCTTGTTGTCCGGAGTAAAAATGGAGGATTTATGATTGGCAAAGTGCCAGATTTCCTGACTTGCAAAAAAAAAGGAGTGCGTCCATGTCATGCTTCGGTAAGCTTCAGAGTGTCAAGTTGGCCTTGTTTTCCTCAGACACCTCCATATGAATCCACTGCTGATAGGCATTAAACAGAAAAGAAAAACTGCTGACAGAGAAGCTTTTAAAAAAACATATCAAAAGCACCTCAGAGCCGCAGAGTTCAGGCTCACAATCAAAAATTAATGAAGCATAAGAAGAAGCATATATGAGAGAATCAAGCCGTATTAAAACATTGAGAAAACTTTTTTTTTCCTTGTTAGAGTGGTCGTTCGGCGTGGCAGCAGCTCTACACAGTAGGCTGCAGCAGCTCCTGCAGGTCGCACAGGGTGTGCTTCAGAGTACGAGCTAAAGTCTCTGCGTTCGTGTCCTCGCAGCAGTTGAAAGCCATGACGGAGAAGTGGACGTGATCCGCCTGGGGGTTGTAACAAACGGCGTAACCGTCGGGGACCAGGGGCCCGAAACACAATACGCTGTCTGTGTTCGCAGGCACCTGCAGAAGCAAGACAAAAATCATTTCTTTATTTTAACAAGACGTGTTCAAAAGTCACATTTTGACTTCAATAAAAATCACATGAATTTTGCAGAAGTTAAATCAGGGGAACTTTTACAAATGCAAAAAAACAAAAACAAGTATTGACAACAAAAGTCCCACTTCCTCTTATTGCAAAGAAGCCCAAACCCCACCTGTCCTGTCCGCAGCTTCCAGTGTGTCGCCAGGCCGTACGCCGTGTCCATGAAGATTTTGGGGATGCTCAGTCCCTCCTCGATGGCTTGCAGCTTCAGGGCCAGCAGGTGGCGATCAATCCCGTGTCCCTTCAGTGCCTGAGACAGAAAGAAGCAATGAGTTAAAGACCCGAGACATTCCGCTGTTGGTAAACTCTGTTTCTCAATTCAACTAAAAGGCATTAATTCTAAAATCCCATCTTTATTTCAAGAAAATATAGTTTCATCCCCATCTGCTGTYTCCTACTGGAACTCCTTTAAACAAAACCTTAACTGGGTAAAAATCTGGTCTCTTCCACACAATTTTTTTTCTTACCAATAARGTTAAAGAAATTTCYTTTAAACTAATTCAGAAATTTTACCCAACCAACATATTGATACTTCCTGTTCTTTCTGTAAAYCTTATCCAGAAACATCTGTTCACCTTTTTTTGTAAATGTACCTGCTCACAGACCTTTTAGAAAGACATCGCTGATCTGATTTCCACTATTAAACCTGATTTCTTGTTATATTTTGAAAATGTTATGTTCGGTATCACAGATTTTAAAGTGAAAGACTCTTCTGCCGTATATATTATCAATCTGATTTTGTTTCTAGCAAAGTTTCAGATTCATTAAAGTAAAGTAATGCATAGAAAACCACTTTTTGACCTATTTGCAATGGATGTAAAATTATGTTAATGCAATCTCAGATTCAAACAAGAAGGCTGTAAAAACAAAAAAAAAAATCTGTAGCATGTACAACCTTACTCTGTAACTCTGTTTTTGTTTGTTTGTTTGGTTATTTTTAATTTTTTTCTTTCTTTTTCTGTTCCTTTATAGTAATTCCTTTGTTTTTGGTTTGTTCTGAAATTTTTTTTGTAAGATTTGCAAAATTATTAATAAAAAAATAAATGAAATAAAAACTTCACCTGCTAACTGGAAGCTTAAAAAAGGGATGAAAGAGAAGCAGCTTGTTTGCTCCTTTACCTGCTCGGTCAGCTCTGAATACGCCTCTACAGCCTCTCTGAACAGCTGCAGCTTCGCTTCCCTCTGAAGCACAAACATAAAACCTTTATTAAAACATTTCAAAACACACAAACAGTAACCGAGACGGTCCTCGCTTCTCACCGACACGGACGGATCATCGAAGGCCATGATGAACTTCAGCGCCTGATTGGTAGGTGAGCGGATGTACTCCGTCCTTCCTCCCCGGAACATCCTCTGAGAGGCGATATCGCAGGCGGGACACACCTCGCCGTGAACTCTGCAGGAAACGCAAACAAATCGATACAAACGCCTCAAACTGTTTATTTCAGACACACCTTCGGCATATTCACAGTCCGGGTCCTGACCTGTAGTAGGCGAGCTGCAGCGCCACCTGCAGGAAAGAGTTGGGACTCAGGTTGTGCTTCTTGGGGAGCTCTTTGCCGAACCTCTTGAAGTTGAACACGTTGATGTCGAGGTCGTTGATCAGACTGAGGAAAAGAAAAGTTTGGATTCAGGCTCACACATTTCAGACCAGATCACTTGAACAGATTTTGGTTTAAACAGCCATACGGGAAAATGGATTATAATTTTATGATTGTTTAAAGTTAGCATACTGAAAATAAGATAAAAATACACTTTAAACAGGAAAAAAAACATATTCACTAACATTTTTATCCATGTTTCAGACTAAAGTTAGCAAATTAAAGGGTCCAAATTAAAGCCTAATAAGACATAAAAACTCTTATTTTTGCACTAAATAAGGACATGAAAATCACTATCATTCCAATTCTTACAATCTATACATTATTGCTACAAATTAGATTTACACGTTTAAAAGGCTCAAAAAATGATCTCATCTGAATCAACTCATCTTTAATCTTTTATCATCTGTCATGTTTTTATTCACATTAAGTAAGAAAAAGTTTTTTTAAGCAGATAAAAGGTAGATGAGTGTTGAATAAAATACGTAACCCTTCATGTTTAGGTTGTGGTCATGAAAACACGATGAATTTAAAGCATGCTCTCCGTCAAGCACAAAGATTTATTTACATTTCTGTGGTTTTACTTCAGAACAAACTGTTCCCAGTTTTGGTAAAAAAAATAAATAATAAATAAAAGAAGCAAACATCCAGCTGCAGATCTGATTTAAAGCCAGCTTACATGTCGAGGTTCTGCTTCGCCAGCTCGATGTCCCTCTTGATGTCTCGATCGATGTGGAAGTAGAGCTTCTTGGGCATGGGCAGCGGAACCAGGGGCGCTCTGGTTGGGTCTGGTTTCTCACTGCAGACAAAACAACACCCCACAAACATTTACATTCAGAAGTTCAGGATGCAGTTATGACCTTACTGTGAATATTCACTGTTTAATTGTGTTAAATACTCTGCAGTAAAGCCTTTAGACGCAGCTTTAGAGCCTCCTACAGACAAGATGCGACACAAGATAACTTAACTTTAAGGTCAGTTTGAAATAAAGGCTGATACATGTTTAAAAAGAAGCAGTAAGGTATTTTGTAAATGTTGCTGAATCATTGATTAACTATTATTGATTTTAAATAAATCCACGAAAAACTCCAGGATCACAGCAGTAATGAGTAGAAAAATCCCAAGCTCAAGTATTTATCATCAAACAAAGCGATTTTCCTGAAGCATAAAAGACAAAAACCTAAAGAAATGCACGTCTGAACGGTTGAAACCACGTCCAGCAGGTTGTTTGTTTACAGATGCAGCCTGAGAATCAGTGCTAAACAGAAAAAGACTCTCTGTTCATGTGACGGATCAATAAACTCACATTGACCCAAAAATCAAAGGAAGAGGAAACGCTGATCTTCTCTCCGATTGTGTTTTGGATCAGAATCAGCAAGATGGTGAAAGATGGTAGATAATTTAGGCGTGTTTGTTTACCTTAATACRTGTTTGTTTACCAGTTGAATGTTTGAATGTGAAAAGAGTTATACAACCACCAGCGCTGGACTGAACCCAGGTTTATTAGCTCAGTAGCTCATTCCTGCATTCAGCAACTGAACCAGGTATTTTAACCTCTTCTGGACCTGACTCCGCCTCCGTCCCTGCATCATCTAAAAGGGAAACCCTATCGCTGGAGCCAGGACCTTGTACAGATTTTCTTCCTTAACGTAAAAACAACGGATCAATTAAGTGTTGAAAGTGAGTCAGGCATGTATCTTATCTAGCATGTACCTTCCGCTGTCCGTGACAGCCACTCAGACCAGTCCGTACATAAAATCACCAGTTTAATCACAAACATATTCACACAATGRTTTWTAAAACTGTTTCATGTTTCACCTAAGAAAAGACTATAAAATGTGTGGTGCCTTTAAAAGTCAATAACAAACAAACCAATACATTTCTTCACTCCTATTAAAAATATGGTGATGGTATTAAAAATAATGATGTTATATTAACCCTTTGAAAACCAGTCACATGACCTATTCAAATCCCTCCAGTCAGAAAGACACGCCTTCTCTGAGACTCAATTTGTGTCAAAAGTAGAGACTTCAAACTTTACACCAGGTTTTAAATTGTGTTTTTAGGACAAATAAAACCAGTTATGATAAAAAGTAAATGCCTTTTTTTCCCTGAACATCCTGTTTAAAACATGGTCTCATGGAAAAAACAGCTCCCTCTCATCCAGCCGAATCTTTAAATGGTGGATAAAAGGAGAAAAGCAGGTGATCTTATCCTCTGAACCAGGGGTGGGCAATCCTGGTCCTCGAGGGCCGCAGCACTGCATGTTTTATTTTTTTCTCTGATCAAACACACCTGATTTGAATGAATGGGTGATTATCAGGCTTCTGCTGTACGGAGGACCAAAACTGACATAACATATATATATATATATATATG